AGCCAGTTCTAAGATGCTCAGCTCCTGGTAATTGCCAGGAGTTTGGCACCTCTGGATGTCTGAGCCATTTGCCATCTCTCTGTGGCCTCCCGCTCCCTGCCAGACAAACTTCCTGTGGAAGGCACACATATAGCCCACAAGAACAAGCTGCCCCCTCTGCTGCATAAGGCTGAGAATGAGGAGGAGCAAGCGCAGGGGAAGGGACGCTGGTGTGGCTCGCAGCAGTGCCCCTTCAAAGGAGTTTTCTGTGATTGTGTAAGAATCTTGTGCAAGAAAAAAAGCGTAGGTGATGAGCTTTGCAACAAGTTGCTGGGGAGTAGCTCCTCTAGTTTAAATTCCACTCCTCTTCTTTTAGAAGGAAAAAGAAAGGCACTTCCCATGATGGCAGTTTTGCAGCATTAGCATTTGGGGCTCCTGTCAGCATATTTGCAGAGTGTGTTCACCAACTCCCTCCTTCCCAGGGCCACAAATGTTCTTCTTTCCTTAGACATATTTTCAGTCCTCCTGGCCCTCCAGCTTGCAATCTGCCTCTTCCTCTTCTTTGCTGACATTGATGCTGTGTACAGTGGCATGCAGGTAAGCACAAACGAAACGTGCATTTCCTTTTCATAAAATCACGGAATGGTTTGGGTTGGAAGGGCCCTTAAAGATCATCTAGTCCAACCCCCTCTGCCATGGGCAGGGACACCTCCCACCAGACCAGATTGCTCCAAGCCCCATCCAGCCTGGCCTTGAATACTGCCAGGAAGGGGGCAGCCACAGCTTCTCTGGGCAACCTGTTCCAGTGTCTCACCACCATCACAGTACGGAACTTCTTCCTAATAGCTAATCTAACTCTACCCTCTTTCGGTTTGAAACCATTACCCCTTGTCCTATCCCCACCCTCCCTGATCAAGAGTCCCTCCCCACCTTTACTGTAGGACCCCTTTAACTACTGGAAGGCCATGTTCATGGCACATATTTTGCTGGCCCTTTACCCAAGTATACCGAGCAGAAGCTACAGCTACGGTCATCTTGGAAATGAAGTTGCTGATCTGATGCTGATTGGGCAGTGCTTTCAAACTGCTCTAACATCCTTTTGGCAAGGGCTTGATTAATGAGGGAGTCCTCCTCTCCTCTACAGACTGAGCGGCAACTGGGAGAAGAAAAAGTGCTTACAGCTTGCTGAGCTTTTTCTTCCTAACAGAAAAGCACAATAGGGTGGATTGTGGTTTTGCATGTTGGAGGAGGCTCGTTGGCTGGATAAGTGAGTGGGCAGGGATCGCTGCTGCCCCTGCCTGGAGCACCACGAGCTCACGCAAGGCCGAGTCACCTCAGCCCTCCCAGGCACTCGGCCAGGGGAAAGTGCAGGCAGCTGCTTCTGGCTGTGCTGCCCAATGTTGGGAACGGCTGAGCCCTGTGGCTCGTCCCCAGTCATCCTGCACAGGATGCATTCGGGTGGAGGCTTGACATTAGGGCAGGCACACATAGAGAGAGAGGAGCCACATGTTGTGCATCAGTTGCAGCTCCCCAGAAGTATTTGGGCGTCAGATCCTGCCCCAGGCGCCTGAGCTGCAGGTTTCAGCAGTAGCTTAAGCAGCCAAGATGAGTTAGGCAGCTCCATGCCATGGGGAATCTGGCATCAAACCTTCCAAGATCTCTGTAACAAGGAATTACTGTCACTTCCTACTGCCTCCTCCATGCTTGCCACTGGGAAAATGTTAGTCAGCTTCTCAAATCATTAGGAACAGATGCAAATCTTGGCAAGGTATTTAAACTTAATTGCCATTCATGTCTTTTCCAACAGTTTCTTTGCACTCCTGTGATCTGGAGAGTTTACGTCTTACTGATGCTCTTGGTCACCTTTTGTGTATCTTTTTTTACAGAGGTGAGTGCATTTGTTTACCACCTGTTCCCTGCAGAGAACAGGAGGAGCGCCTGGTCGGGTCTTTCTACCCCCATTTGCAGCCATGCTCTCCTCCTGCAGAAGCATAAACCCTCAGGCCTTTTTTTACTTCTCCTTAAGTTTCAATGGGTGTCAGTCATACCCATTTTATGCAGCCTAAAAGATGATTTAGACCACATCTCTTAAGCCTTCAGAGATGGAACGACCTGAAGTGCAGCTGCCTGGGAGGAGCCTGCTGCCCTGGCTCGCTGGGGAGCAGACCGCAGCACGGGTCAGGCGCTTGGCAGTGATTTTGAAATAACTGCATCCCTCTTGCCCTACAATTGACCAGGCCAGAGGCTGCGCTGGCTTGTGCTGTTGGATATTGCAGTAATGCCTAAGCCCTAAAGGGTTTTGTGGGTCAAGGCTGACTGTATCCAGCACCGGGTATTGCCCCTGCAAGAAGCAGCAGTGCCCGGTTGTCCCACAGCCCCAGGAGGAAAATATTGCCCCTTGATTATCCCCCTCAGCTAAACAGACCAAGATCAGTGCTGTCCTGATATAACCAAGCAGAGCCTTCCTGTGGATGAGGAAGGTGGCATTTGGCAGCCGTGTTACCGAAGGGGAATGCACGCAGCTGCCCAGTGCCATGGGGGACAGGGGGCCTGCACGTGTAGCAAGGGATGGCTTTTGTCCCCGAGCCGTCCTCCCTCCCAGTGAAGGACAACAGCACTGACCCTGCGCCATGTCACTCCGCAGGATGTTATCTTGCAGAACAAGCACCTCTGGCTGCTGATTAAAGCCTGGTTTGGGTACCAGTCAAAGAGCCAGTACCGAAAATGGCAAACGATGCTGCAGAGAGATCCCAGCTGGCCTCCTGTAAACACAAAAGACTTTGCAGCAAAAAGCACGGACAAGATTTACATTAACCCCACCTACAAACACAGTGACGAGGACTAGGTGAGACCCTGCAGCTGGGCACGGGGCTGTGCATTGCTGGCCACTTCCCCGGCTTGCACTGAACAGCCTGTGTTTTCATCCTTGGATGTGCACCAGATTCAGATGTTTGAAATCCTGCACAAACCCATCCGTTCAGGGGCAGGCTGGGCCCGTGATGGCTGTGCCCCAGAGCACAGGCAAGGATTATTCTCTCAGCTGCTGGTAAAATAACAGCCTGGACTCTACTCTGTGGCAACAGCAGGTCTCAGGCCTTGCCAACATCTCCTACAAAGGCTCAAAAACACTGAATACAGAAAGTAACACCTTCTGCTGCTCCACGTCACACTCTCATTCCATGTTTCAGTCACTGCTCCACCAAATCCTGTCAATGCATCCACCAGGCTTGGTGGGAAGGTAATCCAAAGCGATCGACCTAATCTTGACCATGCAGAGGAGCGCATGTACAATTGCAAAATCCTGCATTCAATGAAACACTGCAGCTTCCAAGAACTACAAGTTCCCCAGATGAAGCAATTCCAGTTTTCTTGCATCCCAGAGTAATACAGATGTAAGAGGGTGCTTACACTGCCCACGCCCAGCTCCCCTTTAGCAGTTCTTGCAGACATAATACTCTGAGTACAGGAAAGGTTAAAGCTCACAGATTGCTGTAAGACAAGGCTGGGAAGGCTGGCAAGGCTATGACCCACTTAAGCTTGCAAAGGCAGAGGACAGCGCAGCTGCTGCACACATGATTCCTCTGCCCCAGCTCATGCTCTGCCGCTGCCAGGCCCAGGTTTGGTGTTGCACAGCAGAAGGCAGGGCTAAGCCTTGGCTTCCTGCTTTAACTAGGTCATGCCAAAAAGCAGGGATTTTAACATGCATATGGCTGCTGGACAGGGACAAGAAGCCGAGCCCCTCTGTACGTACTCTTTCATCAAGTTTTTCAATGACCTAATTAATTTAGTCATTAAAGAACTTTTGATTACATTTGCAGGAAGCAAAAATGTTTTATTAGGTATTCCCATATTAAAAAGAAGAATTTTATTTAAATATAATAAAAGGGCACTACAAAATACAACCAGAAGTCTTGGCTTTGTTATTTAAACATTGAAACAACTGATGTTTAAAAAAAGCTTCTGATCCCATTATGTACACTTTAAGAACAGACAAAAATAGCAAGCCTTTTACAGACAGCTCTTTTGCTCTCATCTCTTCTTACAGTCCAGGCAGTTGCCTGTGGCAAAAGCAACACGGAGTTTAATTTCTTACATGCAGTCTGTAAATAAGGTGGTTCCAAACACAAACCAGATACTCCTGGTAAAGAGTAACAAACCACACTTTTCCAAAACAGTTTTTTTTTCTAAGACAAGCCACGCATCAGCTCTGTGACAAGGAAATACCGGGGCTCTGTAGATTTGGAGATGGGGCATAGGTGCTGCACAGCTCATCCTCCAGATACATCACCCACAGCACTGCAGGGACCCTGGTTTTGCCTTCCTGTTGGCTGGAGGGAGACTGATCTCGTGCTGGGGCTACCGCTCCCAAAGGGAGTCGGAGCAGCCAGGGAAAGGGACACTTTTCCAGGCAGGAGAAAACTGAGCAAAACGGCATCACGCCAAACCCAGAGCACTCATTTCAAACACTGAGGGATAGAGCCTGTAAGACCTGCCTTCCCTTCCCGCCCCCACAGGAGCAGCTCCGTTTAGGTACTGCAGGCATAGGCTCCAAGAAGCAGTATATGCCCTGGCTGCCCTTTTGTGGGCCTGGGAACTGGGTGCTTTCCATTTGCACAGGCCCTTAGCTGGAGGACACACAATAAAACCTCAGCAATACTTTTATATTACTTTTGATTAAAAAAAAAAAAGTAAAAATGTTAATGTTAGAATAGGTTATTCACAGAAAGAGCCCACAGGATGTAGGTGATAAAACCAGGATGTGTGTAGAAAGCCTGCACCAGCCCTCAGCAGAGAACTGGGGGTGTGAGGATGGAGAATTTGCTTGCAAGCACTCTTGGACTACCACAAAAAAAAAAATAATCACAGGCAACGAAATAAAAGCAGATGTGGCAAACAGGCTAGTGCTGCTCTCAGCAAGGGTGACCCAGCTGTTAGTAAGTCTCTGTGGCAGCCACAAACTGTCCTGGGTCCCTCCTGGCTGGGGGCTCCCTGCCCTGCTCCGAGCTCATCCTGTCAGCCTGTCAGTACTGTCTCTCTCTGGATCTGCTCCGGAGCAAGCCCAGCAAGGAGAAGGCACCAGCGGCGGCTGTTACAAACCCAATGGCACTGATCGCTCGATTGGCCTGCAAAGGGGAAATAAAACACAGGCTAGGAACAGAATGAGCTTTTTCTTTTCACCTTCAAGCATGCTAATGAGGAGCAGGCAGGGATAATCAAGGCAATTAAATGGATGAGAGACACCTGCCCCATAAGCAGAAGGGGTAGCATCCAGGCTTTTACCCTTTGGCTGTGGCATTCAAGCAAGAGGGCACTATCAGGGTGCAGACAGACCTTAGTGAACTTCCTGGTGCAGGGTCTTCAGTGAGGCTGGAGGCAGTGACAGTTTGGGTCCCACCCCTGCGGCTTTGCTGTCACCATGCAGTTTGCAGGCTTTGCCCCAGTCCAGGGGCTCACAGAGAGCAACAAGGAGGTGCACTGTGACGCATGCAGGGGCTTACCCCATGTTACTTACCTGGTCAGAGACCCCCTCGCCATAGCGGAGGAGCGTCACGAAGTGCTCACAGTTGTTGCCCAGCAGGTCATAGGACACCTCCTGGTCAATGAGGTATTCGGCACGACGGATAATTTCCTCCACCGGGAGGGGAGCGTAGGTGCCATCGTACTTGTTGTTGATGTGGTAGGTGTCGTTTCCCACCACGTCCTTCAGGAGCTGCATCCTCACCCGGGCCTTTCTGCTGAACACCGACTTGGCGCTGGAGAACGTGGCTGGGGGCCCTTCATCTGGGGAAGGCAGGGACAGGATGAGGCCTGCCTGGCCCTTCCAAGGCCTCAGAGGGTGAGGCTGGCTGGCTCCTGGAAAGGCCGTCTACACACACAAGGTCCACCACTGCCCCACAGAGGGAGACAGGGCTCCTGGGTCACCCCAAAGCCCCCTCTGCACCCTGCCTGGCTGTGCCGGCCTTACCTACAGGTGTCACATTGATGATGTACCCATCCCCCAGGTAGAGGGCCCAGTGCTGGTAAGCTGGCCGGAAGATCTCAATCAGGTCCCCAGGCTCGGGGTCCCCAGGCTGGGTGGCGCTGAAGCTCTCAATGGCTGCCATCTCACGAGTGTGAGGTCAGGACAAGCCTCTCTTGCAGGGCAGTCCCAGTGCAAGGCACGGTGGCGAGGGGAGGTCTGGGATGGGCACAGGGCATCTGCAGGGGGATAGCAGGCGGGGAGATCATTCGAGCCGGGCACTGACACGCTCGTACCGCATGTGGAGCATCGCCGAGCGG